AACGAGGCTAGCTTAGCCAGAGGAGGTAAATACATCTATAATTATACGAAGAAGACTTAGGGTATTTGTATAGCCTCGTTGTAGGCCAGAATGAAACTCGTCCACAAAGTTGTCAAATTTAGGAAACACTACAAAGGTGAACGCGCAGGAAAGTAAAGAAGTAGCGCCCTTAGGTTTACTATATTTAGGACTCAGGTTATGGTAGTTTTCCAGTGAGTTAGTCACAGGAATTAATGCGAAAGTAGGAGGAAAATTGTTTCAGAATGGTCAGTAGGTCAACCACTGGTCATCAAAATTCGTAAAAACTCTCAAAATTTGATAATTAATGCGACATACGCTGGTGTGGGGGAACACAGTTCACACCCCCCCCCCCCCGCGCGCGAAGTGTCCTCAGTAAACTCCCCCCGAGAACCCTTTTTTCCAACCCTTTGGTGACGGAATTCTCTACTGAGTTATCGTCGTTATATAAATTTATTGACTTACATGAGGGAACACAAAAGACGGAAACTCTTTTATTATTCATGTGTTACATGCAGAGAAAATAAAGAGGGTAAGAGGAGATAATGAGTACAAGTTGAGTAGTCAGCCACCATACCAAACCACCTCCTCCCTTGTGTCAGAGATCTCGGGTACTGTGCGAGGAGTGTGGTGACGCCTTCCCGTGGTTTCTCCTGCATCTCGTTTCTCCATTTTTTAAACATAAAACCTCTTTGTAAATCATACGATATACTAAAAATGGGTAAGTAAATTTTAAGACTTCGTAAGTACCTTTAAGACTGTCAGAGAGTGACCGTAAAAACGTGAGATTGATATATGCAAACCGTCCTTAACGATGAAAGAGTTTTTGTTCTTGTTACGTGTTTACGTCGACCGAAGTACCCTTTTATCCAGAATTATTATTGCTTTGTCATCGTGAAATGTAAAGTGACTCCGACGTTGGTGAGTTTACCAGAAAGAGAGAATAAAATAGGTATCTCAATAGTGAGGTGACTAATAAAATCTTTAACAAAATGAAAGGCATACAAAACGACAAGAGCATGTTGAGTCGTTTGTGACGGTAGACAGCACCAGAGAAACGTCTAGAATAAGGACTGTGGCTAATTCTAGCAGTGGCATACTCTACAGATTTCACCGACTTTCCATTTGATTGAGAGTGTGTTTGTGACCTTGTTCATACAGGAATGGAACACTTCCTCTGGGTAGGTAAAAGTAAGTCTCCGAGAGAGAGATATTAGTCTGTGTAACTAACGAACTGAAGGAAAATAATTTAGACATCTGCACGACATATTCTCCTGAGACAACACTCTGGAAGTAGACAATGAGACGACGAAATAGTCTATACCTTGATTATCTTCCCGAAACGAAGATGCGCAAACAAGCTAACTTACAAACACATCCCAGACTGATCCACCAAAACGTCCCAAAGATCCAAGACGGAAAGAGAGTATGTCTACAGAATCCGCGCAAGTGTGGCGTCATGAAACAGGGTTTTCCAATTAGTCTTGAATCAAATACTCATTGAGTGCATCAAGAGTACTTGATTCTATGGCTAGGTGCGCAAGGTGGACCTTATATTGGGACTCTCCTCCTAATTCCGTTTAACTTCCGGCGACTGCAGTGAAGAAGAAGAAGACGAAACCCCAAATGACCATCCGGCGTTTGTGAAGTGCCGCATATGACGCGGCTTTCAGGCCGCTTCAGGGCCTACAACCGCCGACCGAGCATCTTCGATGCACCCTGAGTCGTCGAAGATGACTTCGGTCAGGAAGCTCAGGAAGGCTCATTTAGCGGTCTATGCGGCTGTGAGGAGTAAATGTGCGAGACAAAATAAACACAACGGTATTCAATCAGAGAGACGACAAACACGCGACCCGATTTCGATACGATAATTACGATTACGCTACCTATTATTTTACCGCCGAAGTTTGAAAAAACCCTCAAAAAAAAAGAGGTGCTTTAGGGACGAAGAGATCGTGCCCTGACTTTTCCCCATATTTTTCTCAAGATACTGATTAAACTTCAAGGCCTTGAAAAAAAAAAAGTCCTACACTTGAAATATATGTTCAGATACACACTTGCGCTTGTAAAGCCTTGATATAGTCCTTTGACCCTTTCGATGACGACACACTGCTGCGAGAAGTTAATCCAATTGAAACCGGCATGGACAATGACTATGTTTTAAAAATGCGCTTATCCAGAAAAGCCTGGTTTGGACACTTTACGGGCAGAAGAAACATTTCTATTAAAGAAAGAATTATACATTTCTGTCTTTTTATGCCTTTAATAGCTACTAACTTGAATTTTTATTCAAATTAATTAATCAATTATTTTGTTATATTTTATATAATGTAGAGACAAGGCTTTTAGTGACAATCATGTATTGCTTTACAATTATATGTAACAAAATTAATTATTTTTAAAAAAAAGTCTAAATATGATATTTGGCCTCAAATCATCTGAGGCTTGGCGCCCCCCCTGCGATCTTTGGCGCCCCCCAGGTTGGGAACCACTGTCTTAAGGAACAGCTCTGATATCATAAGTCATTTGTAAACAGGGAGGCGTGTGGTCTAGTGCGTTGGTGTTCCGATCAGGGGGGCACAGGTTCAAACCCCACTGCAGTCAGCATGTCGTTGTGTCCCTGGGCAAGACATTTCACCCCAAATTGCGCATTGAGTATGTAAGTCGCTTTGGATAAAAGCGTCTAACAGGTAATGTAATGTAAACAGGTGCCAGTCATTTTGAGTATTTTAAGGACAATGTCACTTTAACCCCCTTGTCAATGGAGGTTATACCTTCTTAACTCTATGGGGGTTCTTCATGCGTCTACATTTCCTGATGTCCATCTCTGTCGTGTTCACACATCCAGGCTGAAGGAAACATGAGCAAAAACATATTACAGTCAACGATTTTGATTCCAAGTAACCCCAAAAAGAGCTGTAGAATAATAGAGGCAGTTTGTGTATATGAGGAAGATGAGGTACGCGTGTAAACTGTGCACAGACAGGCTCACCACAGGTCTGTGGACGTCCCAGAAGGCTCTCTCCTGGCTGTCCAGGATCTTCCTCTCGGTTTTATCCTTTTTCCTGTCGATCCTGCACATGAGATCAGTCAGAATGAGAAATACAGCAAGCAGCTCTCCTGGCATCAACATTACATGTAGCAATTGAATCAGGATGGAAGGATGAGAAGGGGAAAGAGACAGTCTGGAGATTATTATAAGTCTATACGTTCATCACTTTTTAACAATATTCATGCTCATGTGCTCAAAGCTTTTGGCACGCGCCACTGCACCAGTTTCTGAGTGTGCGTGTGTATGTGTATGTGTATGTGTATGTGTGTGTGTGTGTGTGTGTGTGTGTGTGTGTGTGTGTGTGTGTGTGTGTGTGTGTGTGTGTGTGTGTGTGTGTGTACTGCTACTTATATGTTCATACTGCTGCACCTCCACAATTTGGTAGGCTCTGTAGACAAAGCATGGACGGTATTCCTTTGTGCAATGCTGATGGTTATGTACCGTTCAATTACCATTAGTCCCCTCCGTGTACTAATGTACAGGAGGCTGCACACATAGGATGGCATTACTACAAAAGAAACAATTACATTTGCTACTACAAAGTAGCCAATAGTAAATGGACTTAAAGACTTTTACTTGAGCTAGTGTTTCTTTTTACGCAAGTAAAGTATCTGAATATTCATGACAACCTGACGAAATTGTAACTCATGAAACAAAACACCAAAAAGGATTGACATACTCATCATGTCAAATTTTGGGTTGCATGTACAGATAAGAGTGTGAAGACTCAGCAGAGGTCTTGTGTTTTTTGTCTGCATATAAAGGTTAGAACCAAAATTGTTCTCCACTGTTTATTTGCCTAAATAAATCAGAGGTAGCCACCTTGTCTTCTTGATCCCTTCTCTGTCTTCATTTTCTCATTTTGAATGTGTTCGATAAGCATGCTACCTATCATCGCTGGTCAATAAGATGTATCATCTTTGTTTACCTCAGAAACATGAAGCAGTAGACCTGCTGTGCCCTGATAACACAGGACAGGTCATTTATTACATGAGGCGTAATGGAGTCAGTCAGAAACACTCACTGCTCATGATATGGAGGTGTCACACTTTTGATGTTACTGTGTTGTTTATATTGCTATTTATTTTCTTTCTTAGGTGTGAATGACAATCGCTGAATGCATTGTATTTTCATAAGTTGCCTTGGTAACAGATTGCACTTACTTGACCTGGGCCTCAGCCTGCATGTAGATAAACTCCCACTTCCTGGCAAAGGCTCGCTGCAGCCTGGCGAGGTTCTCCTGTTGGAGAGAAAGAGAAACAGTGAGATGTTGAGGTCAAAATCTCTAAGAAATAAATAAATACATAAATACAAATAAATAAAATCAAGTCTTAAAACATTGCACAGTTTAGCAATTTTCTCAGATGCATTGTGTCTCTTGCACAAGTTAATCACCATTTTTTATTGCACTACTTTTATTTCTTTGTATGTCTAATATCTCATACTGTAGGAGAAGCTGGGGACTTTCATAGCCTAACTACTTTTGTGCAAAAAGCTTTTGAATCTCTAATATTTTGAAAACGCACAGAAATGTGACCTTTAAGAGCTTTTTCTGCCCCAAGCTTGACGCAGATATCAATACTAAGAAGTATCAATACAAAGATATATTAGGAAGTATTGATCTGTGTACAGATGGAATATATCCAGCACTCACCGCCTCATAATCTGCCAGCTCCAGCCTGGTCTTGTTCTGCATGGTCCTCTTGCACAGGTAAATGGCTGTGAGAGGGACAGAGAAGATGGAGGATTAATCAGTACACACTCCCCCCTTCATCCAGGCATCTCACCCCCCTTCATCCAGGCATCTCACCCCCCTTCATCCAGGCATCTCACCCCCCTTCATCCAGGCATCTCAACCCCCTTCATCCAGGCATCTCACCCCCCTTCATCCAGGCATCTCACCCCCCTTCATCCAGGCATCTCACCCCCCTTCATCCAGGCATCTCACCCCCCCTTCATCCAGGCATCTCACCCCCTGCCTGCCTCACCTCCCATGGCTGGAGAGTGTAATCAGTTTTGCCTGTCCACCTCTCTGTTGTTAGGATGACGAGGTGAAGTGTGAAGAGGCACTAAGCCCTAAACTCTGTCTGCCTCTGTGACAGCATGAAGGGCAGGAAGTGGAGCGGTGAATGAGAAAATATGTTGACAAGCCCCCCTACAGTGGAGGGTACGAGAAGTGCTACAGTGCAGGGGCAGGTCATTTTATTTATATTCAGGTATCTTATAAATATGCTGGATGTGTCTTTTAAAGGAAGTGCTTGTTAGGTTGATCCATTTTTTCCATGCCAACTGCTGTCATGTTTTAAAGTAGACGTAGATCTTATGCAAATAAACACATTGCTTAGATTGTTAAATATCCAATTGATATTCCACTCATAGCTTTACCCATTAGTCACTATGTACTAATTCTACTTTACGAATCTCTGCACATAAAGTATAAAGTAAGACGTTTATCTATACAGTAGTTAATTCTGCATTGTGGGAATTTAATTAGGAGTGAGTCGAGCTCTAAAGTCACGCAGCAAATATTCCCTTACAGCAACACAATCATTATTTGTCTGTATTTAGTTAAACGTGGCTCAGCGACGATAAGGCAAGGCAACTTTATTTATACAGCACCTTTCAACACAAGGCAATTCAAAGTGCTTTACATGAATGAAAAACATTAAGAGCATTTAGAAATAGTGGTTGACAGAGGGTTTGTAGAAAGCATTTCTTAAGTGCTGTTTTGGGATTCAAATGTATCCTACATGAGGTCCTTATATATAGAAGTCTCACAGTAAATCTATTGTTAATTGTGTTGTGCTGTTTTTGAAGGGGAATCAAATCAAATCAAGTTTTATTTATACACCACATTTAAAAGCGATTTTTGGTCGAGCCAAAGTGCTGTAATAAAAACACATTACTACATTACATTGCATTTAGCTGACGCTTCTATCCAAAGCGACTACAATCACAAGACAATAATTGACAACAGAAATATAAAAACCAAAATGAATGGCCTCCTTGTTAGCCTTATAATCACATGGCTAACATGGAGGCCATTCATTTTGGTGACAACAGAAATATAAAAACCAAAATGAATGGCCTCCTTGTTAGCCTTATAATCACATGGCTAACATGGAGGCCATTCATTTTGGTTTTTAAATTGATATTTTAGGGCTGTTGACAGTATTTTCTGATTTATGGAGTGATAAAAAGAGATATCCAAAATCCCTTCAGTAAAAGCCTTAGATACTAATATGACCACAAAATGAAACAGAATTTTGAACCTGGCTTTATCCAAAGTTGAGATTTAGATTCCTGAAATATGTTAAAATATGCGTATATTTAATGAGATAATGATCATTTGCATATTTAAACTTGCTATTTCAGAAAACTTGTAATACAAAAGACAATTGCCTTATTCTAAGTAATTAACTGGAGACATTTCTAGCTGATATCTTTAAGTTAAAAAAATTACCCTATTCACCTGGGGTGTCTCGCCTTAAGGCCTTGGTTCTAACAGCACTCACTCATTACTGTGTTTTGGTGCCAATTGATCATACTACCTTTTTCACTTTAAACACTATCTTAGTAAAAATCAAATGGATAAAAAACATTGATTTTTCAAATATGGAAGAACACATGTTACAGAGGACTTAACGCAAATATGTGCAAGAAAGAAAATAGGAAAAAATGTAAATGTGTCCCTCTTACCATAGTCCGTGTTCTCAGGCTCCCAACAGTTGGACGGCCAGAAATATGGAGCCTGACGAGAAACAAGTGAAAAGGTGAGAGTGGACTAAAAAACAGAGTCAAATCCTTGCAGGTGTTTGTAATTTCAAGACTTTCCGATTAAATCTGAGGAGGGGACGACCTTTGTGAGATTGTTGTTTTGCCTCGGAGACACATCAGTGCACCTGATTGCTTTGCACCACTATGTGGGCAATCAAAAATATGTGTATTATCAGTATTGAACAGATTCAGGAACAGCTGACTGATCCTAATACTTTTTTTTCCCTGGTTAGAGGCATCCTGGGATGTTGCAGAGGCGTGGGAGTACTGCAGCAACACAACAAAACGAGTAGCAATGAAAGCTGCAACACAAACAGTTGGGAAGCAGAATAATAAAGCCAGCAGGCGAGGAACAGATGCTGATTGGATGATGTTTGAGCTAGCTGGGAGGAGGTTTGAATCACAGTTTCACAAGCATGCACTTGTTTCAATAAAAATAGAAATTGTTCATTGTTTTTCACTTTCCTCTTCTGTGTTGCTCTTTGATTAGCACTTGGGAAATGAAACGCTACTGAATGGTCTTTATGAATCTTTTTATGTCGAACAGCCCTCGCCTTTCTTTCTGCTGCTCTTGACTTCTCTTCCACTTCACTTTGAATGTGAAGCAAGGTCAAAGCTCGATAATGTCAACTGCCATCTCCTTTAATTAAAGAGCTCCTCCAACAACTCTGTGAAAAGGAAGGAAGGAAGATGCTACACAGAGATCATTTTTCACCTCGTGCCATTTCCCACTGAGTAATGTCATAACGTTGTTTCCCATTTTGAATTAGGACATTCTGGTTAGAACAGTCTGGCTTAATTAATCTGTGACTTCAATGCCACCGTCTAATCTGCGAACAATGGAGGAGTAAAATGTCAGCACGCTTTCCTTTGCTTTTTGTCCCTTGGTGAGACTACACTTTGTGTCTCAGTCAGGCTTTTGGTTTCCTCCTACTCACACCCGGCTTCACTCGCTCGCTTGATGAATATTTGAACAGATCACCATTCATTTTTAATAGGGTCACAGGATCCCAACATAGTCCTGAAGAAGCTGCAGACAGGGAATTGGTGTGTTGTAATTCCCAAACAGGCAAAGTAATCTTAAGGTTATTAAGGTCCTTATGAGAAAGAAGCGCCTCCACAATCATATTAACCTCGCCTGCTCATATCTCTCACACTATAAAGCTGGATTAGTTTGAGTTTAGGTCTGATTTGAAAGGCACAGGGCAATTTGCATTTATAGCAGAACAACAACGATTGTAATCCGTTTATAATAAAGTGCCATTAGACCCATGTGTAAAGCCATTACTCACAAGCTAACATTCCTTGCGAATTTACAATTGTTACACAAGGATGACGCCAAATTCAGGGTGGCTTATTTTCTATAGAGATCTGAGTTTCTGAAAACTAAAAAGGTTGCCTCAATATTTCTTCCTGCCTCCATGTGCATACTGTTCCAAATGTGTTGATATTTAATGTTGCATCAAAACATTAAATGTGCAGTCCATTGAAAGTACAATGGACGTTATCTAATTCATAAGGTCTCTTTCCACATCTTATGTTACATAACGTAGAATACTACTTGTAAGGGCCTAGCCAGCATGTTGATGTTTTTGTTATTGTTCCTGTTTTCATTGTTGTTTCTCTCATTTCAGTCTCAGCTTTCCTTCCCTTGATTGAACTCCACCTGCTTCCCTTCCCTAATTAGCCTCACCTGTGCCCCATTATCATCTCTCCCTCCGGCTACAATAGAGGTTTCTCAATACTCAAATTTCCCCTCCTCGACTCCTCGACTCCTCGGTCCTCCGGTAGTGACCCGGCAATGAATTTCAGCGCGCCATGTTGAAGGACATCTCATTTCTCTAAATGCACTTCGAGGACCGAGCATCGAGCATCGAGGAGGCTCTCTGGAGGAGCTCTAACCGAGGAGACACTGATGGGTCCTCCACGGCTCCTCCACGGATGCATTTCCGGGAACGGTGGAGGCGTGACTCACGGCCGGACTTATCTCAGCCAATGACAGCTCTGCATGCATCCCTTGGATATTATTTTAGTAACTGCTTTCATCGCAACGCAAAGTTTATAGAGAGAACAGCTGTGAGGTCCTTGCAGAGAGCAGAGCAGTGTGTAAAATATATATCACTCAGTATAACCACATTACTTTCTGTATTTGCTGTAGTTTAGTAGATATCTACAAACAAAGAGTCGATATTTTTCTAAGACCATTTAGTGCTTCACATAATAAAATACACAACGGCTGTAGCCTGATTATTCTTTAGGAGCAGTAGGTGTGTGTGGTACAGTGTGTAGGTGTGGTACAGTGTGTAGGTGTGTGTTGTACACATGGTTGTACAGTGCGTAGATGCGGCGGACAGGCGGGTCTCAGTTGGTTTGGTGTCCTATGCTTACTTT